ATAATATTGCAAAAAAAACAAAAAGTAAAAAGAATAATTGAAGACAAATTATTAGAAGAACTTTAAGATTTAGAAAATAAAATTAATTATAACGAGAGTGAGAAATTATATAGCGATTTTTTATATGTTAAAAATAAAATTGACGAGATATATACTGAAAAAAACTCAGGGAGCGCTTATTAGATCAAAGCAACTGTGATACTGTCAAGGAGAAAAAAACTCTAAAATTTTCAAAAGCAACAATTCGCAAACTACTTACCTATTCAGATCAGTACACCTTTGATTCCAATGAAATTAACAATAAAATATACGATTTCTACACGATCCAACATCGCTGGATAATTTAGTACTTTGAATGGAATACGTAATATTAATATTCTTGATAAAAGTGCATGTGATATTTTGGAATATGAAATTGATGAAAATGAAGTAAAAAAACGTATTAACAACATTCAAACTAAACAAATCCCCTGGAAACGATGGGTTAACAATTAAATTTTATCAAACCTTTTGGCCATCAATAAAACACATATTTTTGAACTCTATTAAATATACTTTTGATACTGGTACTTTATCTACAAGTCAAAAACAGACGGTAATTGAATTAATTGCTAAAGGAGATAAGAATAAATAGGAAATTAACTTACTGTGATACAAAAATAATTAGTAAAATTCTTTCAAAGAGGTTAAAACCATATTTAAGTGGTTTGATTCACCCTAACCAATCCGCTTTTATTTCTGTTAGACATATAAGTAGTATATGTCTTTTCGGATATGACGCATTTCACTTCTGCGCATGCGCAGCTTTTTCAATGCGTCATATCCGAAAAGACACAACTGTTAAAATGTATTATAACAGACTCCCCAAACTGTTAAAATGTATTATAACAGACTCCCCAAACTGTATTATAACACACTCCCACCCCAAACTGTATTATAAATTACCCAAACCACAGATCACTAATAATAATACAGTATAAAATAACCGCATTAAAAATGTCTTTAATTTTAAAACACGAACAAAAAAAATTCGAAGGAGACGGTTTCTTCTCTGCGCTAACATCTCTCATCCCCAAAGTGACCAATTTTGTCTCAAACAACAAATCGCTCATTTCCTCAGAAGCGCAAGCTCTTGGATCTGTGGCAAAAGCAGGAGTAAATATAAGCGATGCAGTGAAAAAATCTGACGAACTTAAAGAACTGCAGCTAATAAGAGAACTAAGAAACAAGAGACTAGAACGACAAGCCCTAGAAAAACAAGGAAAAGGGTTTAAAATCATTGGATAAAAATGGCAAGCAAAAATTACAGATTGGATCCAATCTTTCAATTGTATGATCCGATTCAATATTCGTTCAACAAGAAGAAAGAGGATTACGTAATCATCTCACCATCGGTAGGGACAAAGACCCAAATAAACGACGGAGGAAGAGTTACCT